AGAATTCAAAGCAGTTAGGGAGCAAGAGAGAATAACGGCTTTAATATAGTTTTGGAAAAGATTTTCCATTGTGCATAATGTTGGTGCTTTTCTAATGTCTTTCCAAAGTGCAACAGAAGTCCAAAAGCGGATGATGAAAGACATTTTTAATAGATGTTTGCAACATACGCCGTCTTCTCTCCTCTCCTAGAAGTGTGTGGTGCCCAGCAGTGAAAGCGTCAACTTAGCGCTCCAAAAAAGAATGACAAAGTGAATGACATCATTACTGAACTGTTCCCTCACCGAAAAAAAAAACCAGTCTGTCATCCATCCACAGACATGACTTTCCCAGCACCAGACAATTATATATAATCTATTTTACAGTAATGACAACAATACTAACAGGCTGCATCTTACCTGGTTATTGATGCACAGAGCAAGGTGCTTCCTCTCCCGAGCCAGACTCCCGCTGCGCAGTCTCACCTCCTCTCCTTGGTGAACATTTCTGGAAGGACATCACTCAAGTTAGGGTGCAAAACTCTCAAAAATATGAAATATGTCAGAATCTCTCGGCATGCGAGGAGCCTGTACTCTGTGTCCAGCTGCAGAGAGTACCGATACGTAGGGTTTTAAAATCACTCCTCAGTGCTTGAAGCAGCCGTTACCGGAGCTTCCCGTTTAACCGAAATAACAAACACTGCTGCTTTACATTTGGGACCAAGGCGAGTCGCTGCGTGGGTTACTAACCTGTACGTGCCGCTCCTCAGCATGACGAGCTCTCCACCCGCAGTCAGTCAGAGATGCAGTGAACACTTAGAGTCGGGAGCAGCCGGTGAGTGACTACACTTGGAAAATTTTCGCAGCCAATGGGATGCTGAGGGTGTGCGCGTGCCCCCCGCCTTTGCTTTTCAATACAGCGCCCCCCGCGCGCGCGTGTTGACACGGCGTCATTTAACTTGGCGATCGACTTTAATCGCTGTATTCTGCGCGGTTTATCTTTTGTGTGTGTGTGTGTGTGTGTGTGTGTGTGCGTGCGGGGGGTTGCTGGGAATGGCTCACGGTGTGCCAATTTATTTGCTCTTAGCAACTAACTTCCAGGGTGTGGGTTGGACTCAAGTTAAACAAACAGCACGATTGATATTTTATATCACGCCACCCTACAGAGGCTTAGGTGAGAACCGATGAGGTGAGGTATAAAGATGCCTAAATATTAAAAGGCCTACTTTAAGGGTCGTTTTGCTGTAGGGCCTATCAAACCATCAGATTTGCCCTTTTGGATGGAGGACTTCCAAATCTGCCCGGTGTCCACCTACTATAAAAGGATCCTTATCCCGGTGTCCTACAGCCTAGTCTTTTTGCTTGGCCTGAGTTTAAACGGCGTCCTTCTGTGGTGCGTTATCTGTCGGACGCGCCGCTGGAGCAACACGGTGATCTACCTGACCAACCTCGCAGTCGCGGACCTCCTCTTCGTGCTGGCCCTTCCTCCACTTATCATCAGCGATGCTATGGGAAACTTCTGGCCCTTCGGCAACATCTTCTGCAAAACTGTTAGATTTGTCTTTCTGGTCAACCTCCACTGTAGCATAATGTTTGTCACCTGCGTCAGCGTTCACCGGTTCATCGGGGTGTGCTATCCCATCGCTGCTGTGCGCCTCAGGACCAGAAAGTTCGCCGTCCTTGCGTCAGGGTCCATTTGGATTCTAGCCAGTGCCGAGATTTCACCGACATTTGTGTTTGCGCACACGGGTGTGATCAACAACATGACTGTTTGCTTTGAAATGACCGGCCCGACGCAATTTGATATGTTCTTTCCGTATGGGCTGTTCTTGGTTATAGCGGGCTTTTTGGTCCCATTCTTGGTCGTGGTCACCTGTTACTGCTCCATGATAAACGTGCTGTACTGCGGGGCCGCGGACTGCATTTCTAATACCAGGAAACAGCGTGTGCGCAAAAAGTGCTTGTATACCCTTTTAACTGTGTGCCTCATGTTTGCCGTTTGTTTTGTGCCGTATCATATTGTCCGCACCGTCTACATGTTTGTCAGAGTCTACATGCCAGGAAACTGTCATCTGCTGAACCTGGTCATGATCACGTTTAAAGTCTGGAAACCGGTTGTCGTGTTAAACTGCTGCGTAAATCCTCTCATCTACTTCTGTAGCTCTCATCCAAAGCGTCTGAAGTTCAGAACCTGGCTCTGGAGGAGGAATAAAAGAGTGGAGCCCACTGTGTGTCTGGTCAGCAAGAGGTGTGAAGGGTATAATCCGTGAAGGGATGTGATCGGTAGACAACAGTGATTTAAATTATCCTACAAACGCATTCTCTGTGTTTTATACTTCATTTTATTGATTTAAATTAAAAAAAAAATGCATTTGTCATAACTAAACAATATACAAAATTTCACCAATTGTGCAATTATTATGCAAATATTAAGGTCATCTTGCAATTAACTTGCAAAACTGGAGCAACACCACAATCAACAGACTGCTCAATAGAAAGCAGCAACACTGTGGTCATAGGTGACATTAAACATTTGTGGGAACTGGTGCCCTCTGTCGTATGTAGAGAATCTTATTTCTAAAAGAGAAGAAATATTCAGTTCAAACATGGAAAATAAAACAGGTCCAAAATATTCCAAACAGTGACAATATGTAGCCATAAAACAGACACACCCGCGAACACTCGGAACAGTAAGTCAAGTGAAGATTAAAAATAACCTGGAGGTAAAAAGTGCTTCAAATTTCCATCGAAAATAGGACATTTTTTTAAAGCATTGTCTATTTTAGCATATACTTGTCTCGAGGCACAGAGTGACAGTGTTGGAGCAGCAGACAGCTGAATGAAGGGCATCATTTCAGAACACTCCTGTAAGCAAGAGATGACAGATGGCTGGAGCAGTGGTCTGGGATCTGAGTGAAGAGAAGACAGGACAGATTAAATGAAGAAGAAAAACCCCACAGTGGAAGTTAAAACAGCGAAGAAGCAAAGCCTACAAACAGAACAATAATAGAAAAAACATAATGTTCTATCACTGTAAAGATAAGAGGCTGAACGGATTAATAAATGGCTCTCTTTGAATATGAATTGCATAAAGTGTGCGTGTGTGTGTATACCTGTGCGCCCAGCCTGGAGAGATAGCGGTTGCGTAAGCCAAAAGCAGACATGGGTGCCAGTCTAGCCAGCTCACCCTGTGTCGGCTTACTTGGCTGCCTTTCTTTCCTGCAGGAAAAAATAAAATAGCATAGACACTTTGAACATCTCTGCAGCCAACACTAACATGAACACAATTATGCAAATATTACAATAGGATTAGTCACCCAGTCTGCTG